TTATATTTGACACCTTGTCTACTTTAATGAATGACTCAGGACTAGGGCTCGGATTTATATGTATTTATTTAACCAAAGTATGTATTTATACAACAAAAATATGTACATAAATATGTGCTAAAAAATGTATAATATGTATTATCAAAAAAAAAAAATAAATATTATTATTAATTAAAATGAAATGTAATAAAAAAAATATTTATCTAACTATCTAATTACTAATTATTATGGTTACAATTATAATGACATGCATTTTTAAATTTTCGAATTCGAAAGATCGCCGATTATGTCGTAAAATTGATTTATATCGACTGAAAGATCTCTCAACTTCGACTGATGTTATAGGACAATATTGCATGTTGACTATGTCTGAAGGAGAAAGTTCTACATCCAATGAAGCTTCAGACGAAATACCAGTCAGAATTCGAGTTCGGCAACAACATTTTTGATTTCTTGGAAGTTTTGGCAATAATAATTAGCGGCATTCAACCAAGTGCCCCATCTAGTTACAATTGGTTGTAGAGGGAGGCTTAGATCTGGGTACATATTTTTAAATATTTCGACACGGCTGGGAGCTTTTAGAAATATCTTTTTGACTGCAGATATTAACTCATCAACTTTTGTAAATTTTGATCTTATAGTTTCTGCTATTCGGTGAAATGGGTGTGCTAAACACGTTAAGTGGATCGTTTTTGGAAAAAAAGCATTTAATGCTTTACCGGCTTTTACCATGTATGGCGCGGCATCAGATACAAATAATAATACATTCTCGTGCATAACTATATCGGGCCATAATATACTCATAGAATTATTAAAAAATCTTGCAACAGTTTGGTGGTTGCATTTATCTAATTGTTCACAGTTTAACAAAAAAGGCTGGGATTTACTGTCATTTAATTTTCCAATAAATAATCTTAATGAGGTCATAAATATCAAACATATATCGACAGTAGATTAGATTAAGTTTAAATTGGTATTAAATTGGTATTATTTTGTACTTTTGGAAACATGGGCAAGTCTGTATTAATAAATAATAAATCGTAAATGAACAAATTGTCGAAATATGTAGGAAAAATGGAATTATTGAGAAATATGTAAAAACATGTACTTATGGCAAAATATGTAAAAATATGTAAAATAAAATATAGTTCATTTTATTGGAAATCCCTTGAAACGAATTTATCACTTACCTAAATTAATTTATCAAGTCACAGTAAAAATATGTATTTACATATAAATCCGAGCCCTACTCAGGACAAATACCAAACTGATACCTAGCATAATGTTGTTCTTTTATAGTTCTATATATTCTCTGGGACTTTACCCTTACTCTGAAAAGTTATTAAAATATTAGAATATCCGATAATTAGATAGTGTTATGATGGGGTACCTTTTTTTTTTTCTCTGAGTTAATCAAGGGACGGAGTGTATGATATCAATACACCTTTTTAATACAACAGTTCGATGATCGTTACGACTTACGCTTGCATATTTTTATTTGCATATTCTACTCATCTACATTCAATTAATAGGTTTTTTTCTTACTTAATCGGACACCTTTTTTTTTGTAATTTTTTTATTTAAACTTATGTAGTTAGTTATACCATAGATTAAACAAACATAGATAGCCAACGGCTATGTAGAATTTGGAAAGGAAAATTTAGTGACAATAGATGGAGCTGCTAGACGTTTTCTACATAATATCATAGCATTTTACCCGAGAATCTGTATCCGACTCAACCCGAGCTATGTATTGTCACCAAGAATATGATTTCCAAATTCTACGCAGCCGTTGGCTATCTATGTATGTTTAATCTATGGTTATACTGTTAACGATGGACATGAGGTCAGGTGGTAACCTGTTGTTGTTGTCTACCCAAAAATAAGTTCGAAAATAGTTATTATAGCATAATGCACAAAAAAAATTTTAATTTTAAAGCATAGTAAATAGAGCATTGCAAGAATGCATACAAATTGCAGAATCGTATACTTCATTGGGCTATAACTTCAAAACTAAGTTCTGATTGCACCGTCATTCCTAATTCATAGAACATATATCATACATCAAACATTTAGCTAGTACTAGTGTACCAAACGACAAAAAACTTGAAATATTTCAACATTTGGTTGATAATTATGTGATGTTACCATTTGGTAACTATTAAAAGTAGTAAAAATTAATTTTTCAATAATTTGGTCAAGGTGGATTTATAAAATCTATCTTAGTTTAGAGATGTATTGTAGTACTAATTTGACAGTTATCTGTTTTTGATGTCATTTTAAAATATATTAAACTGAGTTAATGTAATTTTCAAAAATTTTTGTCATTTGTTTAGTTAACAAAGTAAAGTTACAAATGCTCATGGAAAAAAATAACTTAAATTAGTAACTTTTTTCAAAATAAAAGTCCACGAATATTACAGCGATTCTCGGAAACATTAATGTTCATTTACACATAGATGTTTATGTCATGTAAATTGAATAAATATTTCTCCTTAAAACATGATACGCTGAAGCCACCTTCAGTGGATTTTAAGTTGGTTCAACTACCTAGGTACTAAGTGTTAGATAAATTCATTTTTAATAACAGGTTTCACAAATATTATAATTTTATTTATTATTTATTATTTATACATATAAAGGAATCTTCTCGAACAAGACAATTTTTTAATATAAATGAATAGTAAAAAATGTTTTAGTAAACATATCGTATCAGTGGCTTTAATTATAAATATTATTATGATACAACATAATATATTTGTATATAAAAAACTATAACATTGACTTTAATTTAATAAAATTGGTATACATTATGTTTGTTTTAATCAACAATTATGGATGGATTTAAATTATAAAATAAAATGAATAATTTTAATTAAAAATTGAAATTCATAAGTATTTATATAAACATGGATTAGAAGAAAATAATTATAACTTTTTTAGGTATTAAAAAGTGCTAAAAATTGTATGAGATCTACAAAGAAAGAGGAAGTTAAATGCAATAGCTTAATTGAAAATTGAATTAAAACTTTTAAATCACTCAATTTGGGAAACATTATAAATAATTTAGCTAGTCTAAATGCAAAAAAAAAAATTCCTGTTGTTTTTTAATTAGCTTAATATGATTATTTTCTCATATAAACAATATCTATTATTTACAGTTATAAATAAATGTATTTAAAAGATATTATACATATTTAACATATGGGAAATTGGGAATGCACAGTTAAATTAAGTAAATATAAAAGAGCGGCGGTGCAGAAGCACCTTGAACATTACGCCTAGAGTAATATTTTTTTTTTAAACAGGGACTAGGAATAATAATATTTAGAGTAATTTTTTAAACATGCTCACTGCTCAGTGCTCACTATCATTTTTCCCTTTAATAGTAGATTGATTCAAATTCTGATTTTTAAAATTTTAAAGTATGCCTAAATACTTTTTTTTCCTATTGTCTGATAATTTGTTTACTACTTAACAAGTGCACTGTGTTAACAGAATCTTCTAATTTTCAAAAAAAAATTTCTCTTTTTTTACAACAAATAATTTAGCGGATGATTTTTTTGAATATTTTGATGTATCTAGTAAATAGTTGGATAGTTTTTACAAATTATTTATATTTATAAATACATTTTAATTCTTAACTACTTCACCCATTACCATCAGCATTATTATTATCCTTAGTACATAAAGTTATGTAACTTAATAACTTGTATTTTTTATTTAGATAAATCAAATTTCTCAAAAAAAATATCTGCCCAATAATTAAAAATGAAAAAAAGGCTCCCCAGGGTTCCTATTTGTAAAACTGAAGTTTGTATTATCAGAGAATCATCTTTAAGTAGTACATCAAATCCCAAAGATTTGAAAATATGGTCTTCAAGTGTATTTAATTATTGAATGAGTTATTAATGGTTAAAAATAATCGAAATTAAGTTAAATTAAAACATGTTTATATTTATAAATAATGAAAATATTAAAAAACTATCCGGCCAAAGCACAGAAAATATTTTTCTTTATCAAACATATAATAGGTGAATTTGTCTTAAACTGAACCAGAGAACCGTAATCGTGGAAATAAAGAATATCTATGTTCCTATATTATGCGTGAGATAGACAGGGAAAACAAATGTTGGTGTGGCGGCCCCTTAAGAATTTCAAACTGAATTTCAATATAAGAGCATAAATGCATAATTTAATCACACAAATAGATTGAGCATGTTTAAAAAATCAATCTGTATAATTAACACATTTGTTTACTTATTATGTTATTATATTACAATTATCATATTTTGTAGTACTCTTTTTTCAATTTTAAGTCATTTAAAGAAGTTAGTAACTTTTAAGTAATTCTTATTTATTAATAAATTAAAAACCAGATAGGTTCAAGCCAGTTATTTTTTTGGACTCATATATTATATTGATGTATAAGCTAGTTGACTAATTATTATTAAGACCTGCTCAATTCGGGTTAAAAGCTAATATTTAAAAGTTCAAAATTTAAAACTTCAATGCCCTGCTGAGAATTAAAATTTGAGTAATCATGATTTAGAAATTACAATAATAATATAATATACATCTATTTAGAGTTCACCTATTAGTAGGTTTATAGTATATTTCTTAGATATCTTAAATTAAACTGTTTTAATTTGTCTACAAAACAACATAAAACAATAGTGAACATAATTTGTCAATTTTGATAAATTGAAATACAAACGTAACATAACATTTTATAATAGCTAGTCAAAAACTAAATAGTAATTTAAATCAATCATTTAACCAAAATAAATCAAACTCGGAAATTATAGTTACAAAACTTTACTGAATAACAACTTAAAATAATGGCTTAGGCATTATATAAAAACAAAAAAAAAACATGATCATTATTGGTGAATAGGACTTCCTTTCTTAATAATTATTATACAGTGTTCTTTTTATGTATTTACTTCTTAATTAGGAAAAACATAAGGCTTAATAACAAATATGATATATTTATGCCATTATGCCTTCTTACTTAAAAGTGCCTTAACGTCATCTGCGTCTAATGTTTCATACTTAAGTAATGCTTCAGCCAAAAGCTTATGTTCTTTATGGTGAACATTTAATATACTTTTTGCACGTTCATAAGATTCCTAAAATGCATAAAAAAAAAATTATACATATTTAATTAAGATGTATAATATTATCAAATAATATAATATTAAAAAATAGAAATGCAAATTATGAAGATGCTTTATATGATGCAATTAAATCATAATAAGAAATAGCCGTTAAATAGATTTAGTGGTACAAATTAATACATGGCTAGCTAATAATAATAACAATACATTAGATATCATACTGTATTCAACATTATAGTCATATGAGTTGTTACCTGCATAATCCTTTTGATTTCATTATCAATGAGTTCATTTGTAGCCGGACTTAGATCATTAAAACTCATTATTTCATTTGACTGAGACTCATGAGTACGAAGTCCAACTTTTTCAGACATTCCAAGTTCTTTCACCATTCTAGTTGCAATATTAGTAGCTTGCTAAAAAATAAAAATCAGCAATAGATTGATTAGATTGTTTTAATAACATTTTTTAAAAGTAAACCAACTTTTAAATCATTTGAAGCGCCAGTTGTAACTTTTTCTGGACCAAATATTAATTCTTCAGCAGCACGACCACCCATCATTGTATCCATTAAAGCTAACATTCTAGCTTTTGTAATGTGGTATTCTTCTTTTGCTGGTATATATGCAGTCTACGAAAAAATAATTTAGAATAATATGGACACTGGAAACAATGAATATTATGCTGAAGTAAACAACTATTCATACATGGCCTAATGAGGATCCTCTTGGCATTATTGTAACCTTATGAAGTGGATGAGAATATTTAGTGAAATATGCAACAATTGCATGTCCACCTTCATGGTACGCCGTTATTGTATTTGCTTCCTCATCAGGAATCTTTGATTTTTTTTCCGGGCCTAAATTTGAATATGTATTAAAAAGAATTTCCCAATATTATGTACTGTATACGTCCGGAATAGGTATTAGTCGATTTATCGCAAGAAATAAGGACATACTTTGACATTACCCAAGTGCGCACCAGTTAATTTAGTGTTAGACACGATTAAAGATATACTGGTTGCGCAACAGAGCGTGATAACGAGACCACCAGTGTTTTCAACTTTTGATGATAAGAATTGTATTACGGCGCGCTCTATTAGTCTGTTGGAACTTGTAGCAGTAAAATACACTGTGGGTGGTGATCATAGGGTATATAGCAGATATTTTAAATAACCTAGATAAGTAACTAGCCGTTATCATTGAAGCCGCAACATACCAGCCTACCGATGATACCGCCATTTGCAAAAAGGTCAATTTGTCGATATCGTGTAATGATGTACCTTCAGTTGGAGACTGTTTTTTAATATAAAAAATTGCATTACCCCTTCGCCAAGCGCGAATAGAATAGTATTGCTCTTGATGACGATCCTGTTGGAAACATTTTTGAGATTAAATGGGCACAGAAAAAGATACACTTTACTGAGTCAGATGTAAGTGATCAAGGCATTGAGACTATAGAAAACAATTATGATGAGATGTTATTAAATTTTAACATCAATTATGAACAATGATAGCTCTAATTTATATGATCAAAAACTAAATATATTATATTATATAGCAGGCTTTGTTGTAAGAAAAATTTCACAAAAAGTCTTCTGTACTTCCTGCAAGAAAAGCTTATTAAAAAAACAAACAGAATTTTTATTTTAACTGATAACTTAGGCAATATGAATATACAAAAGTATCAACAAAAATCATAATATTAGTTGAAAACTATTTTTCTCAGAATTCTCAAATATTTGGTGAATTAGATTGTGAAGATGAAAATATGTTGGCAAGCCCACATAGATTAGAACTAATCAAATTAGTTGTTAGCATGTACTTAAAAATAAGATTTTGTGCAAAAAATCTTTCTTTAGCTATAAATTGCACTAGTAAAAGAAATAAATTCAATAAACTTGTGTTGTTTTTAAACCAATAATGTATAACACGAAGGTTACAAATTTATAATTTGTGTAATGTATATTTTATAATTTGTATAATGTATATTTTACAAATGGTATAATTTATAATTTGTATTATGTATAATTTATAATTTGTATAATATTTATAATTTACTATGTGTAGTACGATATTGTATATGAACTATACATTTATACCTAATCTGTATAGAAAATAATTAAGGACATTTTTAATCTAAATAATAAAAAAAATTCAGCTAATATAATATGTTTTACTATATCCAGCGGCATAACTTGACCTCTTTACAAATGGCGGACGTTTAGAACAGCTGGATTCAGATTATGTGATAGGCGATATTGATAGTTGGTTATCTAGGTTATTTAAAATCTCTGGTATATAGAGACGCCCTACCAGAATAAGTATTATGAACTATGTGAAGCAAAACATGTGAGATTTTGTTTTCAATAACTAACAACACAACATAGATATTAAAGAATGGATAGGCCATGGCTACATTAATAAAATAGAGGAATAAAAAATATTTGATGTACATGTCTATATTTTATTATTATTATTTGTAGTAGGTACCTATTTCATATTTATTTTTTTTTTTAATAATTCTTACGTATCCAATAGGTATAGATATAATATAGTATAAAAATGATCCGTTATATTAATGTTTTAATTATTATAGTTCAAATGTTCAGTTTTAAAGTAATATTATAATATTATATTGATAGTTATAAATAAAGGTTAATATAATTGAGTAATAATAATGTGTAATATAATTAAATTACAATAAATATTGTATTATAGTTCACATACAATAAAACATTTTCTATAGTTTGCCTACACTGTTTTGTTTCCATTTCCGCATCATATTATTTCAATTAGGGGGCCTCTATATACTCTATGGTGGTGATAATATAATGAGAGCGGAAGTAGTTTATTCTTATCAACAGTTTATTACAGTTTATCAAGGATACTTTGGGAACAACATCTTATCATTTTATTTCTTATCATAGCTCGTTGCGCAACCAGTATATCTTTAATCGCGGTGTTACCCAAGGAGGTTAACTGGTTTACACAGCAGTAAAATTTGGTTATTGTTATTTATTTAATTTTTTTGGCTTATACCCATTTATAAAATGTTAGAATAGGTTAGAATGTTTATCCTTGTTTATAATTTAATAATTATATAGGTACTTTTATATTATTTATTTATTTTTTGAATGATATTTAAATGCCTTTATTTTCACATAATCACAATCTAGATTCATTCAGTTGGTATTTTTTTTTTTTTTATAGAATTTTTAATGAATTTAATGTTATTTTCATTGATCAATCTAAATTTAATTAATATTATTGTTACCATTATAGTATATTATCAGCGATAGAATTTTGGGTACACTTGGGATACACAAAATGTATTAGTGGTATTATTATGGACGCACTGGGGCTATTAAAGAGGTACCATACACTTAACTGGAAGCACTTGGGCTACGCCCGTATTAAATAATTATTAAGTCATAAGCTGTAATAATTTTATCCCTAATAAAATTACCCATTAATATCTTATCCCTAGAAATTTCCAAATATTTCATAGACACAGTTGTAGCTCCATCACTTGCAGCTTTTACAGCTGCTTGGTTAACCATATTTTCAATATCGGCACCCGTAAAACCACTAGTTCCTCTAGCCAACAAATCTACATCAATGTCCTTGCTAAGTATTTTCTTTAGATACAAGTCTAAAATTTGTTTTCGTCCTGCATAGTCTGGAAGAGGAACCTAAAACAATTTAATTCATTAAAAATAAAATAAAAAGATATATTGTATTGAATTTTAATTTACATCAACTTCAATGTCAAAACGGCCTGGACGAAGCAATGCTCGATCCAAATCCTCACGTCTATTAGTAGCTCCAAGTACGATAATGTTTTGATTTTGATGAAACCTAGCAGAAATAACAAACATTTACTAATTAATATAAGCAACACAAAATTATTACAATTTACCCATCCATTTCAGTAAGTAACTGATTTATTGTTTGATTTGCATATGGATGTAAAACAGAATTTGTTCTTTTTGCACCAACAGAATCAATTTCATCAATAAATATAACACAAGGCGATTTTTCTTTTGCCGCTTCTAAAATGAAAAAATAAAGGAATGAAAAAAACAATTCAGATAAATAAATTATAAAATCTATCAATATTATATAATAATATGAAGAATAAGACTATCAACAATACAATTATTATATGTTATGTAAGGAATGTTTAATTAATGTATTGTAAATACTGAAATAGTAGTAGTTCTCAGATGGGCAACTGGTTAACCTTAGAGCACATGCTTCATGGTCAAAAAGACCGGGCTTTTAGAATTTTGTTCATTGTTTCAAAAATAAGAAATATTAACCTAATCCAACCAAGGTTCCTTCTAATTAGCTGATAAACTAAAATTAGATACAACTCCCAACTGTATACTATCTGATGTCGGTAATATAGAAGTGTTCAAGTTCATTACCAGACATTACGTATTAATATACGGTGAAAATGACCGTGTGCGTGATCGTAAAAAATCATTTATGGGTTATTTTTAAACTGAGTTTCTAATAATTGCTGCTCGATAAACGAAATTGAGTTATTATATTTTCATTGTGACTGGTTAGTAGTTGACTATGATTTGCACCATACTGTGTGTGACTAAAAAGACCGTGTGCTTGTATTCTCGTGAATATTTTAAATCTAGGGTTGAGAATTTAAGCAACACAACACACCATGTCCCAGAATACATATATAATTTAATATATAAATATAAATTAAATCTCAAATCTCAAATCCTCTAAAAAAAATATAACAGATTTTGAGTAAGATTAAATAAAATATTAAATGCTTACTAAAAAGATCGCGAATTCGTCTAGCGCCTTGTCCAACTAAAATTTCATCAAATTCAGAACCAGCTGCATGGAAAAAGGGCACTCCAGCTTCTCCGGCAACAGCTCGAGCTAATAACGTTTTTCCAGTTCCCGGAGGTCCAACAAGTAATACACCTTTAATTTATAATAATTAGTAATACAATTTTGACATATTTTTTTTTTAGAAGGAAATAAAATGGAGGTCTCTTCAATTGTAATATTTTTTCAGCTGATTGGTACAAATAAATTTAATTTAATTCTTGTTTTTTTTTTTTTTTTTTTTTTTGATAAGTCTTGGAGACTGTATTTTTTAATAATAAAGTTGGAAATTCATCAAGTGTAATAATAATAAAATATTTGAATGTCTTATAAAACAATTTCAACAATATAGTTATTGTGACATTATAATATTGTTGTATCCATGAAAATTAACGTAAACAGTCTTAACAATACAGGGTGATTTTTTTATCGAAGAACACTCATTATTTCAAAAAGTATTAATGTTTAAGAAAATATTTTTTTACATAGTTTCAAGTTGTTAAAAAACAATATTTTTATTAAAAAATTATATTTTTAAATATTTTTTATCCTTTTAATTTTTTAAGTTTTTTACTTTTTTGAATGACAACATCTAATTTTAATTTGATATTCAAAAACAGAATATTTTTCTGATTATTTTAATACATAAAAATTGAATTTAGGGCAAGTAGTTTATGAGTTATAAGTATTTAAAGTTTAGATGAGCGGAGTAGAGGACAAACATTTCGCGGGGTAACCCCGTACCACTCTACTCCGCTCATCTAAACTTTAAATACTTATAACTCATAAACTAATTGCCCTAAATTCAATTTTTATGTATCGAAATACTCAGAAAAATATTCTGTTTTTGAATATCAAATTAAAATTAGATGTTGTCATTCAAAAAAGTAAAAAACTTAAAAAATAAAAAGGATAAAAAATATTTAAAAATATAATTTTTTAATAAAAATATTGTTTTTTAACAACTTGAAACTATGTAAAAAAATATTTTCTTAAACATTAATACTTTTTGAAATAATGAGTGTTCTTCGATAAAAAAATCACCCTGTATAATTACTAAATAAAAACAAATTTTCAGTTTATTTTAAAATTTTATATATATTTTCAGATTAAAGTTATAGAAATTTAATACGAAAATATTATTCATATGAAAGTTTAAAAATAAATATAAAAGTAATATTTATATTACTTATATAATATTTTTAAAAAGGTATGGGTCAGTAATTTGTGGACTATTTAGGAACTACTTATTTCAATAATCTAGATAATAATTTTAAAAAGTATCTCAGATTAAATAATAATACTAATAAAAATAAATCTTTATCAATTATTTTATAACTAAATTGTAAACTTAAGTACCTAGCTTATATATTTGTCATTATTGGTATACTATATTTTTGTTAATTTTGTTATAATTGTAATTTGTGTATACTGTGGAACCTTTAAGAAAATAAATTGTTACCTTCTACTCAAGCTTTGCTTAAAGAAGGTAACTAAACCAAATTGTGTTTCATTTTGATGGTGCCTATAGTTTATAATATTATTTTCTTATGTGTATTCTCAATAAACAGTACCTACTCATCAACATTAAGAGGACGCTACACAGACTTTTGTTGTCTCAGTCTTACAATTGCGTAACATACCAAATTTTATGCTCAGCAGATCACTGGTAGCTCCGTTAGTTTAAAAATTAGAGTGATTTGACCTCTTATAAAACGTTAACGTAAAATTATTATTTAGGGCATCTCATAAGATTTTTATTATATTTTAATTTTAAAAGGTGTTACGAGTATTTAAAAATTAAAAACTGTTTGTATATCTTAAGATTCTTATAACTCGCTTTACAATTGAAATATTACAAAAAGCCTATGAGATACCCAAAATACTAATGTTACTTTTGAATTGTATACGAGAAAAATATACTGTAATTTTTAAACTAACGGAGCTAAATGTAATCTTCCGAGCATAAAATTTGCTACAATTGTAAGACTGAGACAACAAATGTCTCTGTAGCGTACTCTTAACTCGGTGGTATAGTTTTTAAAAATGGCTATGTTATATTTAAATATTTAGAAAATACCTTTTGGTAACTTTCCACCTAAAGACGAAAATTTAGATGGATGTTTAAGAAACTCCACAATATCTCTCAACTCTTGTTTAGCTTCATCAACCTGAGAAACAAAAAAAAACAGTATAAAATAAATACGTTTGATTAAAATAAACTTACTTTATTATTTAATTAATAATTAACTTACTCCTTTAACATCATTAAAAGTCACTGTAATTTCTTCAGAATTCACTTCAACCTGATTTGTGAGTTGTATCTTGAACATAGTTCCTGTAACGATCACTAAAAATAAATTAATGAATATAACAATTGAATTGGATTTAATAGTTTATAAGTTATCTACTCTTCACTATAGCTTCTCATCATCATATTTCAGACATGTTTACAAGTACATTTTTTACAAATTGTCAGCAGCATACATCTTTAAATGGTAAAATATTATAATAATGAGAACATTACAACTTACTGAACTTTTTAAGTATAACAAAGAAAAGGATTGAGGAAGTAGTCTATTTATTATCCACGCAGGCAATCTAAATCTTTTGATGCCAAGTCTAAAGAAAACTGACCAAGTTAAATCAACCCAAGATCTAACCAAATAAGATCTACGTTTAAAAAAAAAAATTTACACTTTATGTTTAAGACTGGAGTTATTATATTGGTAAAATTCTAATATTTAGAACAGAATATGCTGGAACTTTATTACACTTAGTATTATTTAATGCTTGATTTAGTTTGATTCATAAATTATAATACCACAACAAATTTACTAATGTCACAAATTTTAGTTGCTATTTACTGCTATACTTTATTCCAATTAAACTTTAAAAACTACCTAGCCTCGGAATGGTAGGACCAGTGTGGTTTGCCATTAGTTGGCAGCAAACTAGCGTGCAACAGACTGCACAATATGCATAAACACGATGCATTTATGCCATGATTTTTTCAAAACTTATTTGGAATAGACTATAGTGTTATACTTATACATTTTACATGATTCTTTTTTACTTAAATTTGGTAAAATCTTTTTGGATTTGGGCATGCATATTTTTTTTTATATATTTTTGCATATCATAAAAATTGACTAATTATTTTCTACCATTTTGGTTACCAAGTTACTAATGGTCAATAATATTGTATTTAAAATTATTTACTGCTGCACAATTGTAAATTTATTAAAATAATTGATTGAGCTTAGTCTATAATTTAGTATATTGACATAAATATATATTACCAAATATAGAAATCAATGAACTAATTAACAATCCAATTATAAGCGAAGACTGAACAATTTTCCACCATTTTTGAGTTTTGGTAGTATTTCCTTTTTGGTCTTTGGCCACAAGATATCCTTCCGCAAAAGATATTTTTAACCTATCTATTTCTTCTTTGTTAATGTTTTCATTCTTCAGTAGGTCTAAAAAAAAATGTTATATCTATTTTAAAATGTACCTAATTTATAATTAAATTTAAAAATTATCTAGTGGTTTAGATTAAATAAATATATTATTCTTAATGCAATATACCTATGCACCTTAACACAAAGCTACAATTATTTACCTTTCCACTTATTAGATTCCATGCCTGAAAATAAATCAGTACCTTTCAAGTCACTTCCTTTAGGAAGTAATAGCATTTCTCTTAAACGATTTATCAATTTTTCATCGTTTTCCTTACTAGAAATACGTTCAGTCTTAAAGCTTCTGAATTGAACATCTAAAATAAAATGATATATTAGTAAATTTTTCAAATAAAATTCTTGGATAATATTTATTACATACATAGGCTGTTAAGCAGGAAAACCGCTGTATTCAATCATTTTTACAATATTTTAATTATTATTTACTATTTTATAATAATCTAAAGTTAATCTTATTGTATTAAAAAATATCAAGCTTTTATTGTAATATTACAGCCATGTAATTTTCAAGTAAGCAACGGTATCTAATATTATAGTAACATAATAGCTGCATTGTAAAGTATTGTAAAGAAACAAACAAATAAAATCAATTTAAAAATATTTAAATGCCTAAAGTAGTAAAAATCTATATATAAAAAGGCAAATATATACAACAATTTTCTGCTTTATATTAGGTGTTAAGTGTACCCCGTTATTAAGGACCAAGTCACTGTAACGACTTAAATTATAATTCAATGATAAACAATTTAGAGCGGAGACTATAATAGTAAGTATATTGCTATTAAATTAATTTATTTTACTTTTAGTAATACGGTAGATGGAATTAATTTTTGTCAAAATATTAAAATGTCATTGTGTATATAAAATATAATAATATACATAAAAAATTTCAAGTACCCACAAATAATTTTTGAATTATAGCAAAATTACTAAAATTGTTATTATTTTTTTAAACAGGTAATTTAACCCAAATTTTTTTAATATAATAATAATAATAGAAAAAAAAAAAGTTAACATATTTTTTGGTTACAGTATGAACTACTTATGATGAGCCTTGTAATGAATTTTCATGTTTTTATTATAACAAGTGAACAATGTATTTGTTTTTGAGTTACATTAAATATTAATATTACATAACCAATTTTGTAAAAACTGGTATTATTTAAAATGTCATGTTTTTTTATAATTATTTTGAAAAATATTGGGAGTTTTTAATTTTAACATCTCAAAAGTACTAGATCCAATTTTCTACTAGAAACCACAAGTTTAAAATTGATGAATATTTTCTATTACATTTTGTGTATATACTGACAAAAAACACAAATCGTTGTAAAATCAATTAGTTTATTTTAATTTAATTAGAATTTAAAATAGTTTTATTAATGAAAACAATAAAAATAGTACCTATGTAATTGTTTTTTTTTTAATATAAATAAAATAGAAAATGACCTAGGAGCTATTAAGTATTATTTATAAATAAAGAATAAATCAAATACCTGCGAAATAAGGTTTAGGACGATGTAAGAAGTTTTTGGCAGATGAGTTATGTGTACTTGATACAATTAAAATATGATTGTTTGTATTATCCACAGTGTGGTGACATTTTAGACCAAGTTTTTTATTCACTGTTTTTTGCAACAAACGTACAATATTTTGATGTTTCTTCACATTACACTGAACAGTATAATATGTGGGCCGGTTCATTAAATATTCCTCAACTTTTTCAACAGGCATAGTATCTAAAAGCTAAAAATATTCTTAATTAATTTATGGGCATATAGATTAACTACTATAAATACAACTATAAAAGAAATTTAGAAGTATTAAATATTACTTGTCATTGACCTTAAGGTAATAAGTTGGCCTTTTGTACACTCTGATCGGTCAAAGATTGAGGCACTGGTAGTATATGTTATTATAACTACACCGTGTGTCCGCAAAAACAAGGTTCACTGTTTAATTAAATTACCAATATGTGTAATTAGTATCCTATTCATATTTTTGAATTTTATTTGCCGGACATGAAATAGACAATTTATAATATATTTATAATAATTAATATCCCACAGACGGAATTCTAAAATATGTATAGGTTACTGAGTAACGTAGTTCTCTGAGTTAAAGAGGTTACCCTGTTTTCGTGGATATGCGGTATACATAATAAAATATATTAAATATAACTGTGTGTATGCATTGGTCACTCAGTCATTTATTTGTGCCCTCTATCTCTGACTGTGACACATAATGTTATTAATATATGTAGAGTCTATAGAGTAGGGTCTATAAGATATATGCTTTTCCTGCAATAGCAACACTAATATAATATTTTATTGTAAGATCATCATTTTCACACAATAATTATAAAACAACAGTAATAATTAGGAACTAGCAATTATTGATGAAAAATGAATTGTTTCTACTGCACTTTATAATAATGCTTTCTAATAAGACATTTGTCATATACATCATACATCAAAGAATTTAATAGTGAAACTTGTTTTTTATGGTTGTTATTTTTCAAAGCGTTTTCATTGAACATTAATCTATCTGTCTAATGGCATCTATCTTTCGTTTATAAATTGTAATTTGATGAAAAAAAAAAATTTATATTTAAACAGAGAACACCGGATTTAATCTCTTCATTACTTTATATCAAGTTGTGTGATTTAATTTCACCAGACTTCTTTCTTTGGGATTATGTTAAACATGACAAAATAGATAGGTATGTCAGCAACAATAAGAGTTTTAGTCCGGTTAGCACATCCTACCCTTCCCTGCCAGTCGTAGTTCGCCTCATTTCATTGGCCATTAAATTAATACAGCAGCAAATTAGCTCATAGACGTGTTGTGGATGGGTCGGTGATACATTGTATCAAAAAGTTGCTGTTATACCTACCTCTTTATTTTTTCATAATGTCAAAGCTTATGTCTATAAAAAAACAAACCATGAAACATTCAAGAACTGTAAGAAGAAATTTGTCACATCATTGGTGAATTTGAACCAGAGATGTATAGTTTATAGATCTGAACTGAAGCTTGCCAGTGTAGCCGAGGAGGACATATTATTATGTCAGATGTTAAATTCCATACATATATTGGAGATTGTATACTACACAATCATACCTATAGTATCCTTAATATGTTCAAAATAATTTTTCCAATAAAGTTATAACAGAATTAAATACATAATTTTTAATGAAACACTGTATAATATTAACTATACTTGCTAGCATTTTTGCCTGATAAATATGAATTCATGTTAACCGTGAATTCATTTTTTTTAAACAAGTACTACCTACATATGTTACAATTTTGATCATTATTCAATGGTTTGTTAGAGCACTTAGTTTTTAAGTAATAACATTGGTTATGAAGACTAGTATTAATTAGTATCTTTTAAAAATAATATGAAATTACCGATTTAGCATAGCCTGGCAATATATCTTCAACGGTTTTGTTTTTCACATCAGTTTTATTTTGTTTCAAAGTAGACTTCTGGCCTTGAATAGTGATTCTAAGAGGAAATGCCGCAGCTACCTAAAAATATATTAATGACAGGTAATGTAATGATTAATGGCTTAAGTATTTAATACTGTAAACAACCCTAACATTAAAAAATAATGAATAATTTTATGAAGCTAGGTAGAATAAAAATCATAACTTGCTGTATTGTATTTTCAAATTATAATAGGTAAATTTTGATATTGCATAATATTACTCAATATATGAATACACAAAGTATGTAAGTAATTAAGGAAAACAGTAAATGCTAAATCTAATAAAAAATAAATGCCTATTGAATTTTAATATCAACAATTAATAGGCAAACCTTAAACAACATATTTTTTTTCTGTATATCTAGGTACATAATATTCTTAGTTTTATAATCTACCTAAATGTTAATAACTAGAAATTGGAATGTCTTAGGGACTTATGTTAGATATCTATTGATCGGATTATTTAACAGAACATAAATTAGAGAATATGATCATTGACATCATCAACATCTTACGACTGTTATTTTAGGCGACAAGTAGTCATCTACACCTGTATACTAAATCAGTGGTTCTCAACCGGTGTGCCGCAATAAATCTGTTAATAGTTTTATAATTTTGTATTTACCTACCAGTATTATTATCGATATTCGGTGGAAACTGATAACTAACAAACATAAAGACAGGCTAGTTGCTCATCATTAATTGTAGATACGTATAATAAAATGTAATATTAGTTTGCCCATCGCAGCCATCTTGATCGTTTTACGTCGCATTGCAGAATATTGTGTTGTTAATGACTTATGTCCTACATGGTATATATTTTAAATAAAACTTAAATACCTAATATTTTTTATAATGGATGCATTTATAATTCGTTTAACTGACAGCACTTCAGTGAGTGAACCACCAAAGAAAAAAAACTAAATTAAATATCATACGTCAATATCATGAAGATTATTTAAACATAGGATTTTCTTGGTCCGGAAATGTAGATGATCCTCGACCATGGTATATAAAAATATATGCTTCACATATTATATGGATAGGAGATGAAGTGTGCTACCGTGTGCTACATTGTTAAAAAGGTTGAAAACCACTGCACTAAACCTATGATGTATGACGAACAATTTCATATAAACTATTTAAAAATATATGCGACTCACCTGCGTGGGTATGGTAAATCCAAGAGTGAACATGTCTGCAGGAATTCGAAGCAGTAATAGGTAGCTGGTACCTGCTTAGGTACCTAATAATACTAAGGCGATATTATATTATGATTATAACGATGACAGAACGTTTTCGATTGCAATAAACGACCGAAAACTATAGTGTACTATAGTGTTGTAGGAATCGACGGGAAACATTCAAAACGGACACTGCGCAGTGTCTGATATCGTTTGGAGACCAATTAGTATTTTCGTCTATAAAACGCGTGACGACGCCGACGGAACTGGTCAATAACGATTATGGTGGACAAATGATATCGTATGACGAAAAGAGCTCAAAAGACTGTGCAGGACTGCGGTGGTGGTGTGCAGGAGACAAATCGCTATTCACTCGTCGCAGTGGGTAAGAGAAATTGTGATAGGCACAAGCATAATATTGTAATATTTTTGCCGTTCCGCGAAGCCTTAACCTAGTAAAATACTAAGATGAAAAAAAAGAAAATTCTCTCTCTCGCTCACTCCTCTGACGGCCTGACTCCGAAGTTGATACTTGATAAGAACTGCCGAGCGCACTCGATAACGCGACCGTACGTTTTGTATTCGTTTTGTGTTCATCAATAATCGTCGAGTCGTCGGACAAAGGCTCCGAGAGTATCTGGCGGGCAGATGGCGCGCGAGTCGTGTCGGCGGCTCGGAGCAATGCTGGCCCGACCCGTACGTCTTCTGTTATCACTTATCTCGACAGACCGATCGAGGCACCGAGCCACCGACCACCGACCGCGCGGATGGCCGACGCGGACGAGTGCAAGTGTGCAACTGCTGAACTGCCCGAAACGTTCAATAACGACGTCGAGATTCCCTGACACGGCAGTGCTGTTCCGGATGAGATTGGTTAGTCTACGTAAAAAACGTAATCATCTCACTATAAGGAAATACATGGTACCTGGAATGGCGCGTCGAAATATTGTCGACGAATAAATCTAAACAAAACTTGGTGATTGCCTGAGAACCAATATCGACGGGAACCGCAATTTGTTGATCTGAACTCTGAAGCCGACGGTTCGGAAGTTTAATAGGAGTTCCACGAATTCGGAATTACCAGACGAGATGAAGCGGTCCCAGCCGACGACATTTAATTGTTACAAAAGGTGCAGACCATCGGACGGTAATCGTGCCATTGCGCGCGGCCCTATCCCAAACACGGCGGCTAGGCTCATTGAGACGAGTGCGACCGCGACACTGTTGGATGCACAGGATACACAAGGTATGGGGACTAGTGTAGGCGCTTACATCGGCACAGAGGAATGGTCTGCTGATAGATCTGGCTATCCACGATATACCAGTATATGGACTCCCGATTAAGTTACAAAACATCAAATAATACCTACCACTAATTTGTGTTCAAAGGAATACGTAAAACTGTTCCTTACAATAATGTCAAAGACTTGTAAAGATCTGATTTCATATTATGCACTGCCAGAATTCACATTTAAGGTTACGGATCATTTTTCTCTGTTGTTTATTGTTATAAATTACCTGCTACTATAATAATATTAATGACTTCTTCAGTTTCTGTATCTTAGCCAATAATATCATATTAATACAATTTTCCACGACACAACATTTACAAATTTTAGTTAGCTTAATCAATGCATTTTACTTAAAGTTGCAGTCATAAAATAATTTTTTTTTAAATAAATAATTTTCATAAAGTCAAATTATCAGAATTTATGATATAGAAACTTAATCTTTAATTTAATCTTTCGACAAGCTAAGCGGAAAATCAATGTCTTATTTTTACAGATACTTAATTAGTTGTAGCTAAATTTTGTGAGCAGTAAGCACCTCAACGAACTTCATCCGCTTAGAAAGTTATGTGTCTGTCTACTGCACTACAGTTCATAGTTTTTCAATACCGAGAGCCTTAAATATATTTTGTAAAACAACAACTGCTGTTGAATCAGTCAATGTGTATCACAAAGTTACATTAAGAGGATGTCATCATTATGTATAGTTTTCTCAGACCTACGCACATAGATACAACCCATTAATAATTTTTTTTTTTATGATTTTTAAGTAATCTAATATTTAAATCACCTATTACAAAAATTAAATAGAATAATATTTTTGAGGGCTTGACATACCTATAGGTATTGGTTTTAATTTAATTTTTATTTAACTTAAAAATTTGGAAAAAAAACATTTTTACCTACCTAATTTAAATTAATATTAAATTATTTTGAGATAATGTTTCAACACATCCATATGTTCTACCTCAAAATATTACTCTAAAATTTTTTATGGGTTATTCTACTCTATGATCACATGAGATTTATGTGTGAAATGTGAATGATTTGTCTGTGTTGCACAAAGGCCATAGACAATAAACAAATAGTGTGTTTGTTTTGACATTCTCTTAATGTCTAATCTCTAAATTTAATTATTCTATTGGTAGGTTTTGTAATCAATAAGTATATTATCTGGAAAAACAAGGTATTTAAATGTATTTTAATTAAGTACACTCCTGGTAAATACTTTTTTAAACTAAACAAATAGGGTAAATTTACATTTAGTATTTAACTATTTTTATTATTATACTTTATGTGTTGAATTAAAATCTGAAAGTGCATTTATTATAACATGAAATACATCTTGGTAGGTACACTACAATAATTACAAAGTACAATTTTATTTTTATAACTTATTATTAACTGTAAAAAAATTAAAATGTTATAATAATAGATTAAACATGTTATATTAATACTAATATATCATAGGTAAATTATAATCATACTTGAAGACTAATTTGAATTAATTTTGTAACATGTAAAAGTGAAAAAGTTTGTATACTATACATAAGCATCTACAATCTGTAGCAGGGATGGTGTACCTTTCTCTAGTCAAAAAATGTTGTTTAAATTGTATTTGCTCTGTGTAGTTAATTAATTTTTTGTATAACTTAAAAAATTGCTTGACGCTAAATAATTTATAAGAAAGAAGATCAACTAAAATTAAGTTATAAAATAATATTAATATAATATTACCATCTTTTTGGAGTTTGCTTGTTACTAAAATTGTATTTATAGGTTATCCATCCCTGATCTATAGAATTTTTATTGTAAATACAATAGTGTATAAACACATTAACTCATTGTATTAAAAACATACAATTTATACGCTCAATCAATAGCTGTATTATTAGTACAAAGTTAGGGACCAGTCTTTACAATATGTCTTTTACGCTGAACTATTAGCTCAATGTAGGTACTAAACATTTGTTAAATTTTAAATTTGTCAGTAATATATAGTATTTATTTTTGTATTCTGTCAATATCAAATGGATGTATAAACACGAAGTTAATAATTTATTTTGTATAATTTTAACAATAAACTCGAATAATAATATTCAGTTTAATAACAGACTGTTACAGAAGCAGTCATATAGTCTATAAGTTTTAAAAATATAGTTTTATAAATGTTAGTAATGCAAAACGATGTTGATATTAAACAAATTTTTTAAAATTGATGTAACAAAGTAGGTACATCAAATTTTGATAATGATAACAATGTTGATATAAATTACATTAGAATTTATTTTTTATATATTGACTACAAATTTAAAAATTTAATCAGATATCACCAACTATATAGTGAATTATAAGTAGCCAAATATAAATTAATATCACTCATATACATTTTATTATTTATTTTTTTTTTTTTTTTATCCATTCATCATATTTTTTTTTTATTATGTAAGTATTAAGTATAATATAAAATATTTTCAAAAACTTTTATTAATAGTATAAAAAAAATCACCTATACATTTATTTTTGATATTATAATAACATATGTATAACATTGTTGATACAAAAAATATTGTACTGTATCACTTATAGATGTGTACATCTCAAATATGTATACATTAATGTAATTTATTTTATCTGAACCTTTAACTAAAATCAATATGTATGTAAAGTTAAGTATGAATTCACATAATTTCAGTACAACTATAAAAAAAAAAATTCTTTGTAAGCATTTACTTAAAAAGTTCTTAGAATACAATAAAAAATGTTTAACCACAAATTGAGTTTTAGTTATATATCACTTACCTACACTGAAACTTCAAGTATAGACCGCTGCATAAGAAAAATAAGCATTTATTCAACAAAATGTTAAAAATGTAAAATAGTTGCAAACCTATTCAAAAAACAGCAGCTTGTACACGGATTTGCCGAGTTTAAGTAACACCAAACAATAATAATAAAGTATAATTCAACAAAAAAAATAAGAAATTAAGAGTACAAAAAGACTATTAAAATGTATGTGTACAATTTATGTTTTCTCTAATTTAATATTATTTATATAATTTTTTATATTTCTTATTATAAGTTTTAACTTAATTCAGGACTAACATTGCTCTAAAACTCCTTAAAATATGCAATTAAAATTATAAAAACATGAAGTTAAAATATTTATTGTTTGAAAAAAATTACATATAAAAATGTTAAAACTTAATAGTTATTGATAATTTATTGATTAATACATTTAGTATTTGAAATTTTAGGTCATTTTAACAAACAAAATGAAATAACTTAGCTAGAAACAAAAAAATTTACATAGATAAATCATAAATATGTAACTACTAATTACAAGACGGTGCACATCAGACTAACTCGGGTACGAAATGACTATTGCCGGGACACATGAAAACATACTGAATTAAAACTCTTCATACTACATAGATACTAAAAATCGTTCAGTTGCTATTCGTACAATTGTCAAATATTTTTCAACAAACATAATTTTGGACTAAAAGGACAAAAATCCTAAGTTGGAATTATTTATTTTGAAAATTATTTTGCAATTGAACTAAATAAAAACCAAAAGCAGTCTAAGGCTTTTTCTTATTCAAAATATGGCGTAGTTACAACGTCATTAATTTTTAAACTTAAAAAATAATTTTTTCAAGTTTACTTAAAATATATTATGATCTTTAAATATAAATCTAATTAAAAACACATCAAAATGCTATTGACTTTAATATAATCATTATTGTGTAAAATATATAGTAAAAAATATTTATGAAGATATTATTTTATAATATTGATCAATTAAGCAAGATTTGTTCAAATAGAAATTATCATATTAACACGTTGACTGCGTATGTCTTTTTGCAGTTTTCCCCCAGTGCGTATGATAAAAGTAAAAACAAAAGAAATTAAAAAAAAATATAAAGAAACTGCTCATAACGATGTATGTATACATATTTAAAAACATGCGTTTAATCCACGCTAAATAATAATAAAATAACATTCAGCCACGCGTAGTTAATTTTAAACCATTTATTTTAAATGTATATTAGACGCCATATGGCGTCAAACGCGTTGCTGAATGATACTTATGACGCCAATTGGCGTCAGTACGCAGTGAACGTGTTAATGATTCTATTTTTCCAAAATCCTATTGAGACAATTGAAATATCAAATGTAATAAAGATAATTTCAGATTTTTCCTCTGCTTATGAAAATGTTATAACTAATGTACTTTAAAAAAAATCAATTTTTTTAATTCCTTATCTATACCATTTACCATAATTTTTTAATTGCTCTCTCACAATTGACATTTATAATCTATAAATCCATTAAAAAAAAATATACTATTATTGTATTAATGTATTTGAATATTTTTTATATGGGCAATTTGCCAATTTGTATAATGTAAAATTATTTTTCTAAAAATGTATCCTTATTTATTAGTTCCTAAGTAGTTGATGGACTATTTTAAAATACATATGTATGCTATATTACAATTAAGAAAATTTAGAAAATGGCAATATTTATTTAATATTGTTTTAAATTATCATTGAAAGCAGCTTTAAGTTATTTAATGTATAATTTTTGTTTTTTTCTTATTGAAACAAGTAACTAGACCAATTGAAGAGTAAATTGTGTTCTTTGAACTTTAAAATAGTACAATATTACTAGAACGATTAAAGTATAATTATTAATTTTATTATTAAAACTAGGTATCTGTTTAATATATTATCAATATTTTGATCACCTATGAAGGTCATAATAATTTTGAAATTTTATCAAAAAATCCCGTTGTTATAGTGAATATATGTTTTTAAATTATTATAACTTTTACTTAATTCATCACTGTCTGTATTATGAGTTGTGTAGTTTTAAGAATTAAAACTACATACTAAGCTATAGTAATCTATAGTAATCTGTAATATCAGTTTTTACAATGTATGCAAATACATTGAATTAGTAAGTTAAATGTATTTGTAAAAACATGATCAGCGCATGACTTATAGAATCTTTACTAAAATTCTAGTATAACTACTTAATAATTATACA